TAATACCAGTCCTTAGAATGGCTGGGTCATACAAATAAACAGTATATCGATACACAAGAGCCAGTCAAAGTAGCAAACAAATCACAAGGAGAACGCGTTATTGGGCTACCAAGAAACCACAACAGGACAACCAGGAATGGGAGAGGTAAGCATATATTGGCCTTACTTAACAGTGATTGGTTGAATTCTGTTTAGAAGTAACCACTATTCTTTGGATGGTATATGACCCTCCTAAACTGACCCCTGATGTCATTGATATGCACCGAATCACGTAGGTCATTCGGCCGCATATATAAACATGCTGCATGCAAGCAGGCCGCGTCCGTCGGCTGAAAGCCTGACAGTAAGTCACATGCAGAGAGATGTGACCAGGGCTGTAGTAATAAAGTGATTTAACTCTTAAATGACACATCTTTGAACAGTCAGACTGAAGAGACATGATCTATACACCAAAACTGTTACATTAAGCTAAAGTTTTGTTTTTTTATGTCTATATTGACCCTTTAAACTTTTTTTTTTTTTTCTTTTATGTGGTTGGCGTTGTTACATTTGTGCGAGTATTTAATCCTGACCACGATGGTGCCTTCTCATTGCTTAACCTAATAATTCCTGTCCAAACATCTCAAGTGCCAAATCATCAATTTCTCTAGCTTTTTTTTTTTTTTTTAGACAAACCTCTTAATCACATCACACATTTTCTCACCGAGCACACAGTCCACCACATGGCATGTACCAATACTATCATACTAAATGAAATATTGTGATACATTTTTCTCCAGTATGCTTTATTTCTAAAATTTCCAACAAAAGCAAAAATCTAACTAATGGTACCAAAACTAATGACCACATTATTTACCTAATAACACAGTTAGCCTTTTTCCTTGTTTACTATAGAAACCACATTCATAGATTGAGTGACAGGCTCCAGTTAATTAAATAAACCCACCAGTGTCCAGCCCTCCGAATATCCCTATAGTTGGTGTAACCATCTCACATTGCAAAGCTTGAACTACTATAATGAACAGATCGCTCTCGACCATGAAAATCAACTGCATTGGTTATGAGTTCATCCTACTCTTCACAAAGAGTCATTTCTTCCTCAGTTGATTGGAGATCATGCTGTCATGACTCTGAATTGCAGTAGAGTAAAGCCCAGTTCTTTGGAAGGGACACAAATCAAATTCCAGTTCATTAGATTATTTAAGAAAAAGACACATCCACTCTGCAATATTTTCAGCGATTGAAAAAATAGTTTTATGCTTATGAAGAAAACACAAGGTTGAAGGGTATTTATAAGGTAGAGAGTGGGGACTAGGCAGTGGCCTTCTCCCGTGATGGAGATATTACAAAGACTAAGCACAAAGGAAAAAAAAAACTAAACAGTAACAACCATAAAATCAGATGAAGGTACAATATCAGTTATACAGTTTGTGCAGACTTTAGTCTGGATGAGACAGTAAGAAGTAACATGTATCAAGTTGTTTTATATTGCTACCATTTCAGTTTGAGTGGATTTCAAGAAATAGCATCTGGCCTTTCTCAGGAGTTTAATGAACGTTGTGCGGAGTTTAGAATTTCCAAACACAATAAACACGGAATGTATGGACGGGTAAGCTCCAACCACAGAAAAGCAGAATAGAGCAACAAGCTGATCAGTTGCACCTCCTAACACATAGGTATTAAAGCCCACCATCGAAAATAGATAAAAAAGGTAGAACCATCCCATAAACTGTATTGCTCCATAATGAGCTTTCAGCGATGGTTTTCTAAAACTCATTTTACATTGACTCTTCATTCTCTGTGTATGATTCCACAAAGAACCCACCATCAGCCTAATCCCTATGCAAAAAATGATAAAGGGTGGGATGGTGCCCGAGGTGCAAGTTGCGCTAAAGATGATCTGTTGTGTTTTGGAGAAGGTAAATTCTGTAGTGTTATTGGTGGATTGTTGAAGGGGAAAGTTCATATCAGGTTTTTGAATGATGCAGGCAAGAATTATACTGGGTACTATTGATATTACAGTACTGGCACCCAACAAGAAGGGGATCCATCTGTCGAAATGCCTTTTAAAAATGATGAAGATGCTCCAGTTAATATTAACAATTCGGACACAGTATAAGGTGCAAAGCCAGGTGGCAAACCAGAGACTTGTATTGTTAAGGAAAATCACAATTACAAAGAAAATAATAAAATGTGAACCTGAATATGCCAAACCATTAGACAAGATAAAAAGGCAGACAAAGAAGAATAACCACTGATATAAAAAGCGAGATATGCCAAGACAGGTCAAAATTAAATCACAAGAACTTAGAGTTCCATATCGTAAAAGATTCCCGATGTTTACAACGACCATAAAGCCATTCACCAAGCTTCCGATAAGGGTTTCCAGTGATATGATACTAAGAGGCAATATTCTCTCACCTTCAAGGATTATTACACTTTTAGACATTGCTTGGAGTTCTAATTTAATAGTATTTGATTCAGTATTTCTTATCTGCCTCTTTCCTGTTCCTGTTTTCAATATACAGCCTGCTGGAGTATCGTTCTTTCTCTTTCTGACTCTTTATTCTATCAATCTGCTGTGCAAATTCAAATGAGAGAGTTTTTATTTTCATTCACAATAAGCATTTGAGTGATGTAACCTGTAAGGTATATACATGCAAAACCAATGTTTACATTTCAAACTTTGCATTTCTCAGACTGGAATAATGTTAACCAACTAAATACCAATAGATTAAAGGAAAATCATTAACATTTTGTATTACTATATATATATAAAAATATCTCATGTATTTAAGCATCTGTGTAATATTTTGCAATGTACATATACATGGTGGGCCAAAATCCAGAGTATGTTTTGGGGGGCAAATAACTTAAAATTACTTAAAGGACCACTATAGTGCCAGGAAAACATACTCGTAAAACACCTCAGGATCCCCCTCCCGCTGGGCTCTGGGGAGAGGAAGGGGTTAAACTTACCTCTTTCTCCAGCGCTGGGCGGGGAGCTCTCCTCCTCCTCTCCTCCCTCTTCTCCTCCTCTTCGGCTGAATACGCACGGCGCATGATTTTCACAGTGAGAAGCACGCAAGCGCCTCTAGCGGCTGTCAAGAGACAGCCACTGGAGGCTGGATTAACCCATTTATAAACATAGCAGTTTCTCTGAAACTGCTATGCTTATTAAAAAAAAAAAAAAAAAAAAAAAAGGGGTTAACCCTAGCTGGACCTGGCACCCAGACCACTTCATTGAGCTGAAGTGGTCTGGGTGCCTATAGTGGTCCTTTAATTTCACCTTTTTGTTGTTGCAGGTAGATATATTAACTAAGCTTTGGGAGATTCATCATGGATAATTTCACAAAGGAACAACATGTAAAAATAGTGGAATTTTATTGGTGTGAGATGTGATTGAAATTTTTTGTCCTGTAGTGGAAAATCATACTGAAACGTGGTTTCAACATGACGGGGAAAGTGCCTATACAGCCAGGGCCATAACGAACCTCTTGAGACAACTTTTCGGCTAGCGGATATTTTCAAGAAATTCCCATATTATTTGGCCGCCACGTTCGCCTGACCGTTCAGCTCCCAATTACTTCCTGTGGGGATATCTGAAGAAGTGGCTCTATGTGAACAAACAGCGTACACTAAAGCGCAATTAGAATATCCATGTTGAAATTTCAGCGCTGAAGCCGTGAAATGGGACTATCTAAACACTGACCAGAGATAAGGTATCTTCTTACAAGAAACCTAAGTGTTTAGAACAAGGGAGCGTTGAAAGAGCCCAGCCCGCATGTATATAACGGATAGAGAGAGACAAAAAGTGCACTCACAGGTGTTTTGCAATAATCCTTTTATTGTGTAAACAACAAATACATTTTGGTTCTGTTGATGTTAGAGTCCACACTATACTAACTATGTAATTATGTTTAATCATTTACAAATAGTAACATGTTAACAGTATTGAATATTCATAGATATCATTTTAATGAATACATTTCAATATTATCAAACTAATAGCTGAATGTGTGTAAACAACATAGATATATCACACGTTACATATTACTAATAGCACAGGCCTATTCGCTCCATACAATACGAAAACCAGACTTTAAATTTCACTTTTTCAATTTAACGTGATTCCTATAAGAACCCACTGTAAGAGAGAGCTGAACCAAAGTCCAAATGCATCAAAAATAAAAAGTAGACTGCAAGTCTAACAAAATCTTTTAAAGTTTGACAGTTAGCTTGATAGATGCATTATGAGACACCTAATCCCATTAGTCACTTTAAATTAGTGAGGTAAAGACATTTAAGATAAAAAACAAAGAAACACACCCTGGACACACTTAGCACTCTATCTTTCACAACTGACTCTTTCAAACTGAACTTCTGGGACTTAGTTAAAAAGCTTTCCTAGTCACCATTTGTGGGATTATATCTCCAAGCCTAAAGAAAGCTGGTAAATATGATGGTTTCATTTAAATGAATTACTTTTTACTAAAAGCAGAAATATACCTGGAGTATTAAAGTTTTGAAATCCTATTTAGGTGATGGGTTTGTGTATCATTCAAAATTCAATCTGCAGTTGAGTAAGAATTGTGCATTATATCGCTGGTAATTTGCCAAGTTTAGCATATTAAGCTATTATCCAGAGATATTGACCTATCTGAATCTAGAGATAGTTAATCTTTAATCAGAGAAGTTAACCAACTGCAGTGCAGCTTACTTGGTAAGATTTTTTTGGTCACTGGATGGAAAGTTAAATTGACTATTTGTGTGAGAAACATTATATCTTTTAGTTGTAATATTAAAGTGTTTAGCCAGCAGCAAGTTAGTTCATTCTCTGTGTGATTCTAGCAAACTGACAGTATCTAAGGTTTTGCAATTTGAAGCTGTGTTCCGTTCTGTGTGAAGAAATTCTAAAACGCTAAAAGGTTTCCTATAACATTGTTGAATAAGTGTTAATTCAATTATAGAGGAATTATTTGTAACTTTGCATGTAACTCCTTTATTAAATCTACTCCCGTTACTGGATATGTTGCTGTTAAGCTATCTTTTTTTTTTTTTTAATTCTTTATTTTATATGTGCGCACATTAACAAATTAGCGTGCAGAGCCACTACAGCAATTACAGGCATTTCATAGCATTCCCAGGTATGGCAGTTAATATAGCACATTTTGTGTACCTAGTACATAATAGCATGAGATTAACAGGATTATGGCTCTTACAGCATCATAAGCAGATATATATAAAGCAAAGTCGTTGCCTTTCTTTAACCCCTTAGCGACCGAGGACGGTTCAGGACCGTCATCTGCATTTTTGCCTTGAGGACCGATGACAGTCCTGAACCGTCCTAACGGTCTCCGTTACTTACCTGATCACCGTCGTTCCCCCGGCGGCGATCAGCGTGGCTCCGGTTGTGGGGAGAATGCCTGCAGCCCAGACAGTCTCCCCACACTGAATTAGGACCCCTGTGGCCATGTGATCGCTTAACACAGCGATCACATGGTCACAATAGGTGTCCATGTGTCTACCTGCAGGGGGACTGTCTGTGCTGACAGGCAGTCTCCCTGCTAGTGTAAAAAAATAAAAATAAAAAAATAAAGTTAGTGTTAATAAAAAAAAAAAAATTATTATATATGTGTATATATGATATATAGACATATATTATATATATATAATATATGTCTATATATCATATATAATACCATACTAAGTGTATTTTTATATTAATATGTACTTATATTAATATAAAAATACACTTATAATTAAATTACACACGTGTATATATATAATATATATATAATAACTATATATATTGTGTATGTGTATATATATATATTATTACAAAATATAAATAATAAGTAATTTAAATTAAATAAAAAAATTTAGAATAAAAAATAAAAAAAATATCTATATGAAATTTTATTCTAACTGTATTTTAAAATTAATATATATTTATATCAAAATACACTTAGAATGAATTTGTATATATATCTATGTATATAAAAATAAATAAAAATAAGAAATATACATATGTCCATATACAAAATTACATAAATAATTATATAAATATACACGTAGACTTCAAATATATAAATATGTATATATATTTAAATTCTACGTGCGTATTTATGTAATAGTTTTACATAATTCAGTAATTTTATTGATTGCAATTTAAGGGACCTGCCTGCCAACCCAGGCTGAAATTCCAGAGAATTGAATTTGCTAGCACTGTTTTTTACCCTGTAACGTTCTACGACACCCTAAAACCTGTACATGGGGGGTACTGTTTTACTCGGGAGACTTCGCTGAACACAAATATTAGTGATTGAAAACAGTAAAACATATCACAGCGATGATATTGTCAGTGAAAGTGACTTTTTTTGCATTTTTCACACACAAACAGCACTTTTACTGATGATATAATTGTTGTGATACGTTTTCCAGTTTTTTAAACACTAATATTTGTGTTCAGCGATGTCTCCCGAGTAAAACAGTACCCCCCATGTACAGGTTTTATAGTATTTTTGAAAGTTACAGGGTCAAATATTTTTACATTGAAAATGGCCAGGTTGGTTACGTTGCCTTTGAGAGCGTATGGTAGCCCAGGAATGAGAATTACCCCCATGATGGCATACCATTTGCAAAAGAAGACAACCCAAGGTATTGCAAATGGGGTATGTCCAGTCTTTTTTAGTAACCACTTGGTCACAAACACTGGCCAAAATTAGCGTTCAATTTAGTTTTTTTACTTTTTCACACACAAACAAATATGAATGCTTACTTTGGCCAGTGTTTTCGACTAAGTGGCTACTAAAAAAGACTGGACATACCCCATATTGAATACCCTGGGTTGTCTACTTTAAAAAAAAAATATGTACATGTGGGGTGTTATTCAGAGATTTATGACAGATAATAGTGTTACAATGTCACTATTGATAAATTTAAAAAAATTTTGTTTTGAAACCGCAATATTCTACTTGTACCTATAGCCCTATAACATGCAAAAAAAGCAAAAAAGCACATAAACACTGGGTATTTTTAAACTCAGGACAAAATTTTGAATCTATTTAGCAGTTTTTTTAATTCACTTTTGTAGATGAGTAAAAGATTTTTCAAGTAAAAGTCAAAAAACATGTATTTTTTTTTTAAATTTTTCATCATTTTTTTATTTTTTTTAAATTAAAATACATGAGATTATATAAATAATGGTATGTAAAGAAAGCCCCTTTTGTCCTGAAAAAAACGATATATAATTTGTATGGGAACAGTAAATGAGAGAGCGGAAAATTCCAGCCAAACACAAACACCACAAAAGTGTAAAAATATGCCTGGTCGCAAATGTACAACATCGCAAAAACAGTCCAGTCCTTAAGGGGTTAAAATAGTACAGGAACATCCCTGTATAGGCGTAATACACGTGCACATTGGAGCTACGTGTCAAACCAAAGTTAGCGCAATATCCCTAGCCTAGGTACCCTATTCCCTTAATTCACATCCCAGGAGATAAGTAGGATGCTCCATCACCTGTTTTAGGTGCATCATAAGCAGTACCATACTAAGTTCGGCACCTTACCCTACGAGAGAGGGTCATGGTGGCGAACCAAAGGAGAGTTTGAGAAACAAGAATAGAGTAGAGGAAAGAAAAGAGTAAGTAAGTAAGTAAGTCGGGGCAATGAGACGCCAAGGAGAAGGCCGCGGGGGAGGGGGAGCCAGGGAAAGGGGCAGGCCGCGGGACACGTCCACCCCTCCAAAGCTCCTCCGCACCACCTAAGCCCCCAGTGGGCTCCCATCCCATGGCTCCCATACCTTACTGTTAAGCTATCTTTAATTGTGGTTATTGTGTCATAACTGTTGCCTTATTTTGTATACTTATTGTTACCTAAATATTCACTGATATTGTCGCGCATGCTACTTATTATTATTTGTCACAATAAATTATATTTTTCTAATCAGTTGCAATTAATGGGTGAGTGACAAAATACTGTGTTTTAGTATCCCAGTTAATTCCCTTGTGGCTCATTGAACGTCAACGAAACCACAGACTTAAGTGCTCTCCCGGTAATGCCGCCGTTCGTATAATCGAACAACACATGCTGGAGAAAACGGTGGCTGTTTTGTCGCACAAGAACAGACAGTGGGACTTGGTTGTCGAGTGTCTGGAACTATAAGTCGGACACTCGACCTCACGAACACCAGTGATTTTACACGAACGCCTGTTTCTTTTCCTGACAGACATAGTTACATAGTTACATAGCTGAAAAGAGACTTGCGTCCATAAAGTTCAGCCTTCCTCACAAATGTTGTTGCTGTTGATCCAAAAGAAGGCAAAAAACCTGGTCTGAAGCACTTCCAATTTTGCCACAAACTAGGAAAAAATTCTTGACCCCAAAATAGCAGTCAGATGTCTCCTTGGATCAAGCAGCTATTACCCCACTAATTAGAAATTATATCCCTGTATGTTATGTTTTTGTAAGTATTTATCCAATTTCAGTTTAAACATCTGTATGGATAAAACCACCTCTTCAGGCAGAGAATTCCATATCCTTATTGTTCTTACTGTAAAAAAAACTTTTGCCTTAGATGAAATCTCCTTTCTTCCAGCCTAAATGTGTGACCTCGTGTCCTATGTATAGCCCTGTTTATGAATAGGTTTCCAGATAAAGGTTTGTACTGGCCCCAAATATATTTGTATAACGTTATCATATCCCCTCTCAGGCACCGTTTTTCCAAACTAAACAGATTTAATTTTTTTAACCTTTCTTCATAACTAAAATGCTCCATTCCTTTTATCAATTTTGTAGCTCGTCTCTGGACCCTCTCCAGTGCCATGATATCCTTCTTTAGAACAGGCACCCAAAATTGCACATGAGAGTTCTGTTCAGTAGGATTGTACACATGAACTAGGTGAACAATCGCTACCTATGAGCCAGGAGCACCGTTCAACATTTTGTTCGTTTCTGAACTCCTGAAAGTGACCGACTGCTACCACTTTTTTTCTGGAACTAATTTGGGCAGGGGCAGACGCCACGTGTAGTGATTTGGCTGTGTTCGTGGGATCTGAGCACTATTTGGACAACTTGGGTGCTCAGATCCAGTCTATCCGGGGATATAATGATTGTGGGGTTCAGATGTTATGTGTATTTCTAATTGTAACGGACCGTTTCAGCACACAAGGGGTTAAAAACCGTTTAGGCGATCGTCCCCCTTTCCAGAGATGCGGGCACAGCTACTGCAGAACACCAAACTCCCGAACAGGAAACCATACGAATGCTGTAAACAGCCAAATAGGAAAAACCATACGAATAGGTTTACACTCCTAGCAGTCAAACTGGAACAGCATACAATAAATCCCCCCCCAAGAACGAGACAAAGCTCTGTGTTGAGGGTCAAGCAGTGAACAGTCAGAGCTGTGGGTTTATTGTGCTTATGTACACATTTTTACACATTAGTACCACCCACAGGGTTTTGGAACACAACCAATAAACACATACAATACACTCAGACACTCCCACACAAATTCCTCCCCTCTGCCTGTGATACAATTACCTTACACAATGGGTAATGTAATTTAGCACAAGCACAGAAAAACAATTTTTCCACATTATTCATAACTTGAAAAGAATGCATTACAATCAGATAAACTTACATTTTCTGAATCAGCATACTCCAAATACAAACATACGTCAAAATCATACAAATTGGTCCAGTGGTTCAAAAGATAGATCGTAGTCCTTTGTGACCACAGGAAGCATGCCTTTTCTGCCCAAAAACCAGTCCCACAGAGTCTTCTATCCTGGAGATAATTAGAAGTAATCCAATTATCTCCAAAGACAGAGGCAAAACTCCATTGAACACATGGCAGCAAAAGACAGTAAAATACAATAAAATACACAAGGTTACATTTATGACATAAAATACAGACATGCAACATATGCCCAGATAGCTTAGGTCTAAGCGCACATTATTACTGAATGGCGCTCAGAGCACACACATATAGTTCAATTGCCATGGAGCCAAAGTCTTTCCCATAGTCTTTCATTATACGAATGGGCTCCATGACATAGCTATCTGGGGTATCACCACTCAAACAGGGCAAGCACCAAATGACCCGGCTTTCGTGTCTTCGCAGGGGAAAATCAAGCCTTTTAACATGGGGCCATAATCCCAAGGCAACAGGCGAGCAACCAGGCTTCTCCAATGCAATGTGGCGAGATTGCTCTCGTCAC